GCTGCTGCTGCTGCTGCTGCTGCTGCTGCTGCTGCTGCTGCTGCTAAGAGTGAAAGCACTGCAGCTGGCAGGCACCCACGGGAAGACCGCAGTATTGTTGTTGCAGCGATTACTTGTACGCTTGCTGTTGCTGCTGCTGCAGCTGCTGCTGCTGCTGCTGCTACCCAACCAGTATACGTTGCTGCCCTTGCTGCGGCAGATGTTGCTGCTACTGCTGCTGCGGCCACCTGAACAACTGAATAACAGCAGCAGATGCTGCTGCTGCTGCTTCCCAGAAAGAAGGAGGCGCCTACTCCCCACCCCAACTGTTGCTGCTGCAGCAGCAGCAGCAGCAGCAGCAGCACCAGCAGAGGCTGCTGCTGCCGTACAGGGCTGCATCATCAGCCTTCGTCTGCCTTCCGCAGCAGCTGATCCTGCTGCTGTTGATTACTTGTGCAGCTGTTCTCTCCTCGTGGTGAAAGTGCTGCTGCTGTTGTTGCTGCTGCTGCAGCTCCAGCAGCTGCTGCTGCACCGGGTGCTGCAGCTGCTGCAGCTGCTGCAGCTGCTGCACCTGCTGCAGCTTACAGCCACAAGAAGACCGCCAAAATGATGTTTCAACGTTTGCTTCGGTATGAATACACCCCACAGCACCTGCTGCTTCTGCTGCTGCTGCTGTTGCTGCTGCTCTTCTGCAGTACTCAGCAGCAGCAGCTGCTGCTGCGCTTCTGATGCCACTGATGAAGCTGCTGCAGCAGAAATTCTATGAAAAGACAATGACGAAGATTGTTTTCATGAAGAAGTTTAGGTTGCTGCTGCTGCTGCTGCTGCTGCTGCTGTGTTGCTGCTGCTGCAGCCCCTGCTGCATGCAGGACAGCATCGGCGGCGCTTCCAGCAGCAGCACAGCAGCAGCAGCAGCAGCAACGTAGCTCTGAACCTTTTAAAATGATTTGAAAGCAGCTGCAGCTCAACAGCAGCTGTATAGTGTGCTGGAGGGAAGCAGCTGCTGCAGCAGCAGCAGCAGCAGCAACAGCAACACCACCTCCACCATCACCACCATCACTGCGAGCGATGTGCAAACATCTGCAGCAGCAGCAGCAGCAAGAACAGCAGCTGCTTCTTACGCTGCCTTCAGTCGTCTCCTCCTAAGGGAGACGGCCTGACTTGGCCTCAGCAGCAGCAGCAGCAGCAGCAGCAGCAGCGGCAGCAGCAGCAACAGCAGCAGCAAGATGAACGTTGAGGACAGCATGTCTTGGGGCTGTGTCTGTGTACCGAAAACAAAGAAGCAGCAGCAGCAGCAACAGCAGCAAATGAAGCAGAAGCCGGGGAAGCAGCAGGCTGCGCAGCAGCAGCAGCTGCCGAAGGTGAAGAAGCAACGAGAGAAGCAGCAGCAGCAGCAGCAGCAGCAGAAACGACAGAAACAGCAGCAGCATAAGGACCCTCTAAAGCAGGAAAAGCAGCCGAAGCAGAGCAAAAAGCAGCAGCAGCAACAGCAGCAGCAGAAGCAGAAGAAGCAGCAGCAGGGAGACGAGATACACCAAGGGGAGGCGAAGAATCAGCAAAAGCAGCAAAAGAAGAAGCAGCAGCAGCAAGCCAAGCAGCAGCAGCAGCAGCCTCATCAGAAGGCAGACAAAATACCGAAGCAGCGGAAGCAGCAGCAGCAGCAGCAGCAGCAGCAGCAGACAAAGAAAGAAAAGAAGGAGAAGAAGCAGCAGCAGAAGCAGGCTCCCGATCCGAAGGCCCAGCAGAAGCAGCAGCGAAAAAGAAAGCAGCAGCAGCAGCAGCAGCAGCAGGAACCAGCTGAGGGGGCCCCGCCTGTGAAGAAGCTCTGCAAGCCGAAGCAGGAGCAGCAGCAGCAAAAGAAGAGGAAGCAGCAGGGATTAGATGATGGATCTGCTAGCAAAAAGAAGCAGCAGCGTAAAGAAGAGCAGCAGCAGCAGCAGCAGCAGCAGAAGCAGCCGCTGCTGGCTTTGTCTGAGCTGCAGCAGCAACTGAGATGTCTCAAGGGCCTTCGTTTCCTGCAGCCCCTGTCTCTTGCTGCAGCAGCACCAGCCCTGCTGCTGCAGCCGCTGCTACTTCCAACCCAGCAGCAGCAACAGCAGCAGCAGCAGCAAGGTGTGCAGCAGGGCTGCGATGGGTCGGTAAATAACAGCAACAGCAGCAGCAGCAGCAGCAGCAGCAGTTGCTGCAGCAACTGCAGCAGCAACGTTTCGTGGGTTGCTGCTGTCCCTCCTGCTGCACTTCCCAGCGATTTCGGTTTTGCTGCTATCTCAGTTGAGTTTGAGCAGCAGAAGCAGCAGCAGCAACAGCAGCAGCAGTTGCTGCTGCAGGAGGAGGAGCAGCCGCAGGAGCAGCAGCAACCACAGCAGCAGCAGCAGCAGCAGCAGCAGCAAGGGCAGCAGCTGCTGCTGAAAACTCCTGTGCTGCTGATTGGGAGAGGGGCACGTGATACTTGTGCACTCCTAGTAGGTCGTCGCTGCTGCTGCTGCTGCTGCTGCTGCTGCTGCTGTTTGTCTAGCTGCTGTTGCTTCTGCTGCTGCTGCTGCTGTTTTGTCTAGCGTCTGTTGCTTGCGTTGCTGCTGCTGTTCGTCTTGCTGCTGCTGCTTCTCTCCTGGCTGGTGCTGCTGCTGCTGTTGGTGCCGCTGCTGCTAGTGGTGTTGCTGCTGCTGCTTCGCTTTTTGCTGCTGTTGTTTTGCTGCTGCTGCAACGGTGCTTCTGGTGGGTTGTTCTGTGTTTTAATTGACGGAAATGCGTTGGCGATTGCTGCTGCTGCTGCTTCTGCTGCTGCTGCTTCTGCTGCTGTTGCTTCTGCTGCTGCTGCAGCCAGGAACTGCTGCAGACCTTGCTGCATTTGTTGCCGCTCGCCAAGCGTGCCGCAGCAGCGGCAGCAGCAGCAGCAGCAGCAGCAACAACACCAACAGCAATAACAATAGAGACGCCTGCAATACTGCAGGTGCAGCAGCAGCAACAGCAGCAGCAGCAGAAGCAGCATTAGTTTCTCCTGAAGCAGCAGCAGCAGCAGCAAACTGCGTCTCTAAGCTGCTGCTGCCGCGGCAGTGCCGCAGCGTCTCTCGTCTGCATGCGGCGCTTCACTACCAACCCGTAAACCCTAAACCCTAAACCCTAAACCCTCGCTTCGAAATATGCAAGCCGTTCCCTTGGAAGCGACGGCGTACTCTTTCTCTCCAGCCGGTTGCAGCCCTAGGGCTTAGGGTTTAGGGTTTAGGGTATAGGGTTTAGGGTTTAGGGTTTAGGGTTTAGGGTTTAGGGTTTAGGGTTTGCGCGTAGGCTAGTGGCTGTTGGGTCGCCACAAATTTTTCTACCCGTAGGGTTTTTGTTGCTGAGGGTTTCAGCAGCGCAGCAGAGCAGCAGCAGCTGCAGCAGCGAGAAGAAGCTAATCCAGGTATAAACCCTAAACCCTAAACCCTAAACCCTCTCTTCCTGCACTAGACAAGAATACGCTGCAGGCTGCTGTTCTTCTCAACAACTGCTGCAGCGGGTCCCGGTGCTGCTGCTGCTGCTGCTGCTGCTGCTGCAGCTCTTCCGCCCTGTGTATTGACTGCTGTTGCTGCTGCTGCTGCTGTTGCTGCTGCTGCTGCTGCTGCAGGGGAAGGGGTTGAGGCTGGCGGCTACGCTTTGAATCTGCGGCAGCCGCGCTGCCTGTTGCCCTGGCGGCAGCGCGTTGTGCAGCAGCAGCAGGAGCAGCAGCAACAGCAGCAGAAGCAGCAACAGCAGCAGCAGCAGCAGCAGCAGCACAGCGAAGCTGTTGGCGGGTCTCCCTTAGAATCGAACAGCAGTCAGGTTGAGGGAGCTTCTATCGAGCGCAGCACTAGTAGCAGCAGCAGCAACAGCAGCACCAACAGCAGCAGCAGCAACGGCAGCAGCAGCAACGGCAGCAGCAGCAACAGCAGCAGCTGCTGCTACGACAGCAGCAGCTGCTTGCTGGGCCCCCGCGAGATTCTGCAGCTGGCTAAGAATGTGCAACTGATTTGGAGGCTGCCGCTACCCATTGCAGCTCAGCAATCGTAAACCCTAAACCCTAAACCCTAAACCCCAGGCTTTTCTGTCTGTGCGAAACCCTAAACCCTCGTTTCACCGCCTTCACAGCAATAGTAAACGCGACCTGCAGCTGCTAAACCCTAAACCCTTAACACTGCAGGTGAGCTTTCATTGGATTAGGGTTTAGGGTTTAGGGTTTAGGGTTTGGGTGGCGGTGTTGCTGCAGCTCTACGTTGAGGCGGTACGTGCGGGAAGTTGCGAATGCTAAGCAGCAGCAACAGCAGCAGCAGAAGCACGTGCTGCTGCTGCAGCAGCACCAGCTGCAGCAGGCTTTGGCGCTCGACAAGAACAACGCGGAGCTGCAGCAGCAGCAGCAGCAGCTCGAGATGAAGCAAGCAGATGCGCAGCAACAGAGACAACATAAAAAACAGCAGCAAAAGCTGAAGCAGCAGCAGCAACAGCAGCAGGAGCAGCAGCACGACCTCCAGCAACCCAAGCAGCAGCAGCAGCAGATGGATGAGCAGCAGCAGCAGCAGCAGACGGATGAGCAGCAGCAGCAGCAGCCAGATCAGCAGCAGCAGCAGCAGACGGATGAGCAGCAGCAGCAGGAGGATCAGCAGCAGCAGCTGGAGCAGCAGCAAGAACAGGATGAGCAGCAATAGCACCACCACTTGCTGTAGTTTTATTAGTTAGCGGGAAGTTTAATTTCTGCTGCAGCCGCTTGCCTAGGAGAGTCTCTTAGGACACGCTTGCGCAGCAGCAGCAGATGCAGCAGCAGCAGCGGCAGATGCAGCAGCAGCAGGCGCAGCAGGAGCAGCAGGCGCAGCAGCCACAGCTGCAGCCACAGCTGCAGCCACAGCTGCAGCAGCAGCTGCAGCAGCAGCCTCAGCAGCAGCAACAGCAGCAGCAGCAGCCTCAGCAGCAGCAACAGCAGCAGCATATTTCACTGCTGCGGCTGATGCAGTGAGAAAGCATGGTAGGCTGTATAGACAGCAACAGGTTTTAGCAGCAGCAGCAGCAGCTGCTGCTGCTGCTGCTGCTGTTTCGATGCCAGAGGGAGACAACACCGTTCTTGCGCAACTTTTTGACGCATTGCACGGGGGTTTAGGGTTTAGGGTTCGAGTTTACTTTTGGATTTATTAGGGCTTGAGGTAGAGGGTTTAGGGTTTAGGGTTTAGGGTTTAGGGTTTAGGGTTTAGGCTATCGAGGAGTGTCCTTAGGAGGGAGGTTGCGGTCAGCAAGATGTTTCCACCGTTGCCTGCAGCACGAAACGACTCAAGGGTTTAGGGTTTAGGGTTTAGGGTTTAGGGTTTAGAGGCCATTGGTGCTATTAGGGCAGCAGAGGGTTTACACACGTAGTGTTTAGGGTTTAGTGTTCAGGGTTTAATTTTTAGGGTTTAGGGTTTCGAGAATCGCGCATTAGAAAAATTAGAGTTTAAGTTTTAGGGTTTTGTTAAGGGTTTAGGGTTTAGGTTCTCTAAGGCACGGGCTTT